CATGTAAAGGTACGCGTCTACCTCTAAGACCTTGGAACATCATTCTTTAGGTAATTTTAATACAATGCATTCATTGAAAGCACAGGCTTTTATATATCATGTCTTTTTGTTTTGTATTCTGCAGCTTTGTTTCCATATGTTTATTATGTTATTATGTGTTGTTTCTGAAGCTTTTAATTCAATCTCTCCCTTATTCTTTTCTTCCACCACGACTAGCATCTGTGAACAATCCCTCCCTCCATTCTTTTCTACTGTCTATAATCAATTTCTTTTGGGGGAATTTGTCTTGAAATAAAATAAAACTTACCTACACATGATAGAGTAATCTTTTTTATCATTTATCACAATATTTTTCTAACCATATGTTCTTGTTTGGTTCTCCTAAAAGACTTTTTTTATCCATTTGACTAATGATAAATGAAAGAGATTAAAGCTAATCAGATAGATGTGAAAATAATGAGGCAAGGCATATAGAGATGATATTTCTTTTGCCAAAATTGAAATTTTGAGAAGTATGGGGATGCTTAATTGTATGACAGTATATATGAGGGTATATCTTCCTCAAAATATGCACAAATGTTATTGTATTTTTTTATTTAAAGAAATGTAGAAATGGTACTGCTCACTACATAATTCACGTCCAATAGGCACATTATAAATTTAAGAATGGGGATAAGGGTTGGACCCAAGGGAGATAGAATTTACTTGATTGAGGTTTGTTCGTTTTTGTATGTTTCTATTATTGCAAGTAAACGATCTTTTTACATGTATAGCTATACCTTATAGACCATGATTAGTTATTGTAATTTGCTTTGTTTCCAGATGTTTATTATGTGTTGTTTCTTAAGTCTTTGAACTCCATTTCATGATCCAAAAACAGACCCAATATGTGTCTCTCTTCAACGACTTCTTAATATTAATTTTAGTGACCCGACAACTCACATAGAAAACCCAAAAAACCCAACCCAAAAATAGACCCAAACTCTTAACCCTAAACTCAAAACACCACCCAAAAACCTGTTCCAAAACCAATCCCCAAAAACCTTTTGCAATCACAAAAGACAAAACGTAATCTAGATTCTACCCAAAACCAGACCCAAAGTGATGCCCGAAATCCAATGCGAAAAACAAAATCCAATACGCATAAACTCTTACAAGCCTTTGCGGTACTAACCTTTGCACGGCTCTTCCAGCATCGGAACCCTCTTCTGCCATTATGTACTGCTCACTACATAATTCACGTCCAATAGGCACATTATAAATTTAAGAATGGGGATAAGGGTTGGACCCAAGGGAGATAGAATTTACTTGATTGAGGTTTGTTCGTTTTTGTATGTTTGTTTCTATTATTGCAAGTAAACGATCTTTTTACATGTATAGCTATACCTTATAGACCATGATTAGTTATTGTAATTTGCTTTGTTTCCAGATGTTTATTATGTGTTGTTTCTTAAGTCTTTGAACTCCTTATTATGATCCAAAAACGGACCCAATATGTGTCTCTCTTCAACGACTTCTTAATATTAATTTTAGTGACCCGACAACTCACATAGAAAACCCAAAAAACCCAACCCAAAAATAGACACAAACTCTTAACCCTAAACTCAAAACACCACCCAAAAACCTGTTCCAAAACCAATCCCCAAAAACCGTTTGCAATCACAAAAGACAAAACGTAATCCAGATTCTACCCAAAACCAGACCCAAAGTGATGCCCGAAATCCAATGCGAAAGACAAAATCCAATACGCATAAACTCTTACAAGCCTTTGCGGTACTAACCTTTGCACTGCTCTTCCAGCATCGGAACCCTCTTCTGCCATTCTCATCCAATTTGGGTCCATTTTTTTTCCCCAAGGTATTATTTTAATTTACATTCTACTTTTTTACTGGCCGGACACAAAAATAATTAAAGAAGGTCTATTTGGCATACCCAAGAACCAACCTAGAGTGTGTCTTGAAACCAACCCCAAACACCAGTCCCAAACAAAAAAACGAAACCCAAGTCACAACCTACCCTAAAAGCATACCCAAAATCGAGCCTTAAGCTGAAACCAAAAAAATCAAAATCCCAACCCAAAACCTAACCGAAAAACCCAAACTCAAACCCAAACCTAGAACCTAAGTCCAAGTAACCAGACCAAGAAATAAAACTGTTCCAATCCATGACTTTCATTATCATTCAATATCCTCTCAAACAGCTACTTGCTATGGGTAATTGGAAAAGTAAAATCAGGGTCCAAACCCCAAAACCCAAAGGTTAAAACCCACCCTAGAGTTCATCATAAAACCAAACCAAACACCAATCCGAAATAAAAAAATCATAACCCACAACTACCCTGAAAGCAGTCCCACAATCAAGCCCGAACCCCAAACCAAAAAACAAAATCCCCACCCAAAACCAAACCAAAAAAACCCAAATCATATTCTCATTAAACTGGATTTCTCTCTATATTCCTTAGTGTGATTTTAGTTTCTTTTCTTGTCTAAATTTTTTAATTTAACAATACTTTGATGGAAATTGGATGTTAATATTTACTGTCCAAACAAAGTTAATAGTACAAGTGTGAAAAGTAAAAAGGAAATGCCTAGGAAAAAAACCACTGCCAATGTTTGTATTCACTGGTACGGTGTAACATGCTTTTCAATTATGTCTTGTTTTTAAGATTTTTCCAAACCTGTTTGTAAGTGTAAAATCCATTTAGAAGTAAGAATCCCTTTCCTTTTTTGCTGTGTTATTAATTTTTTATCCTAAAACCTAGGAATTTCCTATTAAAACTGTATTAATTAAAAAATTAAAAAATTATGCATTATTGAATATTTTATAGTTTTATTCTTAAAAAAACTGAAATCGTATCATATGATAATGATCTACAAGGTTATTCAAATTATTTAAACTGTTTTTCATAAATAATTTTAGTTATGGAGACAGGTCAGTGGAATAAATGACAACATAAAGGAATGGACATGTAAGGTCATAGTTGTGGAGAAACGCAACATCAAAGAATCAAGGGCGAGCCCTAACACCGTTCGAGCCCTAACATCAAAGACTCAAGAATGAGTGATGAGACTGGTGAAATAGAGGCAACAATGTTCGATGAAGATTTCAAGAGGTTGTTATCCATTTCCAACACTGTTCACCGCTCAGGAGCAATAGACATTAGCGAAATTCAAAATAAGATAAATCGTATCACATTTGCTTGTGAATTGAGGTTTGATAACAAAAAGTTTGAAGGGCCAAGTAGGAGGAATTGCACAGTGAACGGGTTGTTTGAAGATATTGTATTGCCTGAGCGCATTATGAGTGCCGAAAAGGAAAGGGAAAGAAGTGGTGAAGGACCAACCCGGAAACGGCTGAGATTTGATGAGAATGATGCAGAGCATGAAGTGTTATACCTAAGCTCCGGGTTTACCGGTAATAAGCGCAAACTCAAGAAATAACGCCTTTTGATTTCAGGACAAGAGGATAATCGATTGTCTATCTTAGATAATCGATTGTCTGATGGTGCAGTTTCTTGGATTTTCTGGAGGGATTGATAGTCGATTATCAGTATGGTGATAATCGATTATAGAGGACTGCAGGAGTTTCCCTTGATGTATGATAATCGATTGCCGAGGGTGATAATCGATTAATGACGCATGCAGGTGTTTTGATGGAGGAATGATAATCGATTATTAACAAGGATAATCGATTATTTTGGCAGATTTCTGGGAACGAAATGTTGGTGTTTGTGTGGGGAAAGGCTGGAAAAATATGGGGATGATGAGGGAGTTCTTTTGGGTATTTTAATGGAAGAAAAGGGTAAGATTAAGAGGAGAAATGGGGAGGTATGAAATGGGAGAAAATCAGGGATGGATAAACCAAGTTGGTGTTTAAGAGATATTACACACTCTTATCCTAACTTGGGGTTTGAATCTAGAATTTAATTAAGATATGACACACTTAATCAAATATCTAGAACCTAAAACTCACACTTAAGATAACCACTTC